ATTATTAGCATATAATCCTTAATAAGTGACATACGATGAGAAATAGAAAGAATTAAAGAATTATTGTTATATTTGATGCCATTATTGGAATTCAATAAAGGAATGTTATTGATGTTTGAATTAACAGGATTATGATTTGAATTGAGATTACTGCCATAGTAATTACTATTATTATTGTTGTATAAAAGTTGATGTGGTTGCTGTTGGGATAAGTATGATAAAGATTGTTGTGGTTGGGGTGGCTGTTGTAGTTGAGGTAAGAATGATAAAGGCTGTTGTGGTTGCGGTTGAGGTGAGAGTGATAAATATTGTTGTAGTTGGGATGGCTGTTGTAGTTGAGGTGGTTGTTGCGGTTGAGGTGAGAATGATGAATGTTGTTGTAGTTGGTGTGGTTGTTGCGGTTGAGGTGAGAATGATGAATGTTGTTGGGGTTGGAGTGACTGTTGTAGTTGAGGTGGTTGTTGCGGTTGAGATGAGAATGATGAATGCTGTTGTAGTTGTGGCTGTTGTAGCGGTTGATATGAGAATGATATAGGTTGGGGTGGTTGAGGTGAAAAAGATGAACTTTGTTGTTGTTGGGATGGAGAGAATGATAATTGTTGGGATGGCGGCATTGTGTTATCATTACTACTGCTATTATTTTTATCACTACTACTACTATTATTATTATTATCATTATTATTATAATTATAATTATTATTATTGCTGTTTAAAAATGAAATATGATGATATTGTTGATTAGACATTTTGATAAAAAAAAGAAAATTAAAAAAAACGTCGTTTGTTTTTTTAAAAAAAAGAATAGTGTGTAAAAAATATGGCGTTGATTTTTTTTATTTAAAAAATGGGTTTGATTTTTATTATTATTATTATTATTTAAAGACGGTAATCGTTGATTTATTTAAAAAAAAAAGGAGATGTTTTTTTTTATTTTTTTTTACGACGGACGGTAGCCGTGGATTTTTTTTTTTTTAAAAAATGTGGATGATTTTTTTAATTTTGCAAGTTATAGTAACCGATGGGAACAGGCCAAAGGATATTGGACATCTGATACGTTTAAATATCTCAACCAAAATTTCATATGGGTGTTGATCTGTTTTTTTAAAAAAACTTGCATTTTCTTTACATACACTCACTAGACAAAAGTCGGGCGCATTTTTAAACAAAAATTGCGCAAAAACATACTTAATAATAATTAAA